TGAAATTCTTTTGTTTTGTCCTCCAAATTGAGCTGCTTTGACGTCACATGCAAGGGGTCTATTTGGAGGACATAACAATAGGTTTCCAATTCTCAAGAGATTGAAATTCTTTTGTTTTATCCTCCAAATTGAGCTGCTTTGACGTCACATGCAAGGGGTCTCTAGACCTTTTAAGCTTCATATGCAAATTGCCCATTTTAGACCACGTGACACCCTGGAGAATTGTTCTTTTATGACAAACATGTTTAAATATTTACACATGAAAGAATCAACTCCCATTTGATACTAAAATCATTAAATCGTAAATATAAAACATTTCCCATTCAAAACTCTGCTCTAAGGGGCTTTAATGCTTGCTACTTTTAGCAAAACGCAAATATTAAGATTGGGCTTYCTGTGGTCCCTCGATATACGAGTGTATTTTGTACACTTTTTACGTTGAGTTTGCAAATAACACAAAAGTATGAAACAATTTTAGTTATTTTAGGTAGAATATACGTATAGAGGATATGAACAGATAAATATTATTTTACAAGGACGCTTAAATAAGCTTCAAAATGCACCAACCTCTTGCAGGATTCTTCGTATCCCTTCCCGTGGCGCATCTTCGTAAGCTGGGTCCTCGGACAGCAGCTTCAGAATCCTAACTTTTCCATGGGGACACTCTGCATAGACGTCAGTGAATGTGCCTCCTCTATCGATAGCAAAACGGAAGGTTTTTTTGAAGAATTCTGAGGTCATTTTTTACAAGGTTAATAACGTGTTGGTGGGCTCCCACGAATTTTGGAATAATTTGTACAAATAACCGCTGCCTTTATACTGCAGGCTCTAAAACCTTGGATTTTTTTTGGTGGCAAATCTTAAAGTTTTTACCAAATAACTAGCGAACAGAGCGCAAATAATAATAAAGAAACCTTAGTTTTTTTTAGAAACCTCCCTTGTTAAGTGTGAGGTTCAGCAGGTATGCATATGTGTCGCGTGATGAGATCACGCTACCTCGTGGCATGTGATCTTCAGATGACCCCTGGATGCCAAAAAAACTAATTTTACAACTGATCACTCCCCGAACGGTGCGCTTAGCTTTTTTGAGGTTCACTATGTATGCACTAACACTACGGTGGCCAAGGGGCGTATCTAGGAAGTTAGATAAGGGGAGTTACAAAATGTAGAAGTCGCACCTTTTGCTAAAATAAAAAAGTAAGTAATGTATCCATCGGATAAGGATTTATCCTCGGGATAGCGCTATCCGCTCTTAACCGGGCCCTGGTGTCTGAACGGGACTGTCTCGTAAGCCGAGAGGTTTGAAACAAACTTTCTTAGTATGCCACCATACCATAACTCGTTCGACAATTGCCCTATTTCACTATGACGTCACTGCTTGTTTATGTGGGGGATAGAATCGCCAAATCCAATAGAAAATTCAACACAATTTGCTCCTAGCGAAACAGTTTAATCTAAAATGGCCAGGTTTTCAGATATAATATGTGTTAATAAGTACTAAAAAATATTCTGAGCGTTTGCTGGCTATTCTACTTGTCTTCGTGGATTGATACGGATTTTAGAACAATTTTCGGTGAATCAGTTGCGTTGATTTGACCCCCTCCGACGACCATGATCCTTTGTGTTCAAACAATAGATTGTTTTCATGTGACGTCATAGTGAAATAGGGCAATTGCTTATGTCTTTCTTGGATCCGGCTTGACTTTGACGTTTTTGAAGCGTGGACTTCAATGTGAACTTAGTTGTTATAAAGTATTTTCAAGAAAGGAAATAAAAATGGGGGTCACTGACTTTGTTACAGAGCTATATAAGAGTTTAAAGGAATTAAAAACTCGTTTTCTTGATATATTTAATGGGACTAATAGATCATTGTGGGGAGAGGGGGGGTGAGGGCGGAGGGGTTGAGTAAATCCCCATAAAAGTATTGAGCAAGCATTTTACCTACAAAAACATGTCGCGCAACCCCACTCAGTTTATATCTATCTGGGTCCACCCTTAGCTAAACGAATGCATCGTGGCATGCGTCGAAGCAATCTCGTAACCAGAGCCCTTATTTCTTACTGCGCATGCTCGACGATACCCAATTATTTCGTCGAGCATGCGCAGTAAGAAATAAGGGCTCGAGTTTGGCATCCAGTTAGTCACGCGTCGAAATGATTCGTGCATTCTCGTCCCCAGAGCTCCTCGGTTTGGTTTTCTTCCCGTCGGAACGAAACCAGATCAGAAAGATCCACTAATATCCCAGAATGCATTGCGAGTGAGATATACCTTTTATTCAAACAGCTAAAATATATTTAGCATAACATATAATAGCATAACCCTTGATATATTAATATTTTCGAAATTGAAAAATCAATCGTACTTTACTTGAGTGTATGTCATACCAGTACATATCCTACAACTGGCTACTTTTATTTTCTCAAATTAGTCGAACATGTCTTCATCAAATGCTAGAGCAACACCTTAGTATAGTTGTATTAGTGGTAAAAGTATATCATTACAAAAAGATTCACATATCAAACCGGTTCAACGGTCAAAGAAAACTATCAGTAATAATCGTGCTTTTAACGATATCTATTTCTAAATCATTTCAAGAGAGTACTTTTGGAGTAATTTTCAGGTTCAGTCGATCCTATCAAATGCTAAAGCAACACCTTAGTATTAGCAGTATTATAGTGGTAAAAGTATATCATTACAAAAAGATTTACATAACAAAACTAGTGGATTCAAAACTAGTGCTAGTGAATTCTCGTCTGGAACGAAACTAAGGACGCGTGCGATTAATCCAGATATTTATGCGATAATCATCAGCATGACAATTCTCCTTTTCGCCCCACAATATACCTAAGTCCCAGGTAGTATCTTTCGCTTTGTTTGTGTGCAAATACTCGCACAAATCACAAATCCAGTTTGTTTCTCTCGTGTATCCATATTTCGTTTTCCACTCAAAGTAGCTGTTGTATGCAGTTTCATTCTTATCCAGGTAATGAAGGTATTTTGCCAGAGCTTCGGCGTTAGGAAAGTCAAGAATATCAATGTACGAGCCAGGAATCAAAACGTCTTTGTTGTAGCTTCCAGCGATGACAACGGGAACCACATTTCTATCCAAAGCATTTTCCCAATATTTTTCGGTCAAATATCCCTTGCAATTGGAATTCTCAAAAGAAAGATAGAATTTATACCTTTCGTTCAGCCTCTGGCAGTCGCGAGTTCGACGCCAACATCTCCCTGTTTGCTTGAAATATTTTTGGCAACCTCCATATACGTCCACTTGGATATACTTAGCAATTTCCTTTACAATGTTAAGTCGAAGAGATGCAGCTTTACGGCAGTTGCTAGCGAGCCAAAGCACTAGTCGATCTTTACCTTCCGTAAAGTTTCTATTGGAATAAAGCTTTTGGGCCTCAATCTTGGATTTGTGGTTCAAGCTGAAGTAGTCCCCATAGAGTGTGTGAATGTCTGACTCGTGGAGATGTGTGATGGTTAGTTCAAACATGTTTTTTAACTTATTCAGTGGATAGCTTGTTGATGCAGGACTTTCTTCATTGAACCATGCCCACATCTGTCCTCTGGGTTTCTTCAAAACAAGCGCTTTCATTTCCATGGGAGATGGTGTGAAATAACCATGGAAAACCACGACACTACTTCTCGAGATATCATCTTTTGAAATAGAGAAGTTACAAGCAGCAATTTTACATGGTCTGTTACTGAAGTCAGTTAGGTTTTTCTCTCTTCCAATAGTGTGAGGCCATGGGAGTTGACCGAAGAAGGACGTGTAGAATAAAATAGTTTTAACTTCCTTTGGTCTAGAAGGACTTGTTGTCGCTGTTGTTTTCACAGTGGAACGAGGCACGTTGAAGAGAGGGTCAAAAACCATAATTTGGAACGTTCCATTTCTAAAAGAAAACGTATCGTAGTTGTAAATCCCGACTAGTATCAACATCAGTATAGCAAGGGAAAAAACGAGAGTTTGTTTTATGCCTTTTTTCATCATGATTCGAATGTGAATTGAATAAAGTGTTGCTGATTACGTCTTTTCTGGACAAAAGTGAGGAATAGCTACCAAATATCAAAAATATTACTATTGAACTCTTGTCAAGTATAGAGTAAAGTCACTATAAACTGACGGCGTGAAAAAGAGTTTAGTAATGTGCATTAGTAGGCCTTAATTCCATTGTTTTCTCTTGTCGTATATTTGATTACTTTGACTTGTTTGTTGTTTTTTTTTTGTCACGGGTTGTTTAATTGCATTCACTCTATTCGAAGTGGTCCCACGGGTGCTATCTGCTAAGGGCTTTACGACAGGCTTGAATTCAGAAAAAAAATATGGGCAAGTAGTGTGGTTGCATTTGTTTTAGGTTTGGGTTACCAATGGTATTTCTTTATTTCTATGCTTTGTATTTTATTTCTATTTCATTGCTGTTTTGCTACCGTATGTCTTTTTACATCGTATGTCCTCGTATGCTTTCGTATGCTTTCTGAAATCACCTAAAACTACCTTTATCACGACTACCGTTTGAAATCCACATAATGAAGCTAAATTCTTCTAAGAGAAATTACGAATTAACTGTTATTATAATATAGCTAGATTATTACGCGCGCTCTGATTGGCCAAAAACCTATGAACTATTTCCCCATGGGCTGCACGGTTCATCTTTTCTTGAATCTAGCTATGCCTCGTGACACTCTTAACGCTTGTTCAATCGTTCTTTATATTTTCTCTCGTGCGTCTATAACGCCATGGGCGCGCGACTTTCTGTTGTCTAATTGATAAGTAATCTCGCGTTCTGATTGGTTGGAAGCGCGTGCTTTATGAGAGCACACACCACGCGCGCACACTTTCAGCTACGTCATTCTTATCTAAAATAACGGTTATTGTAATTTGTATTTTATAAAAGAAATAAAAAACTTTCTTGCTGTGCGGTGTGGAGTTATAAAATACTTGAGGATTGGCAGAACACGCGAGAAGTGTGCTTCTTCTAACACTTCTCTCGTGTTCTGCTAACCCCCGCGTGCTTTATAACTGCACACAGCACGCGCGCACTTTTTATATTTCTTTCTTTTAACGAGTGTGACTCAATCGTATGGAGTTATCAGTGAGTCATGAGTTATAATTCATTAATTGTCTCTTGACATTACGAATTATTTTCATTTCACGACACAGCTGAACTATTATTTTCAAACCCAAAGTCAAGTTCAATCGGAAAATTAGTTCCGCTATTTATTTTTCTTAATTGCGATTCCAATCAACTCCAATTTTTTGATTGGATATAAATCTTCAGTTTAGTTAGCTGGTACTTTTGAGTGTAATAAGGGACTGTGCAATAATTACCAAGAGGTATTCTGAAATGGACGGTTTTGTTGAACATTATTCTTATGAAGTACTATTTGTTGCAGACGAGGACATCGAACAAGTAAGCACAGGCTTGCAATAGCATGGCAACATGTAAAGGTATTCACATAAAGACATTTCTAATTGAAGGATAATGGTAATCATTGTAGGGGGGAGGGGGTTTCAACGTTATTTTTAACATAACAGGGGGGGGGAATAACTAAAACTTTTGTTTTTAAGGGGGGGTACTGCTTAATCTTTTGCTTGACATATCTCATTTTTCAGCCCCTCTCCTGATAATTATTGCACAGTCCCTAACAAGGTCTCCCCCTTGATTTAAAGCACGCTCAATGAGTTAGTGAAGTGGTTTAGAGTTATATCTCTAATCAGCCGTGCCCTAACTCGCCACGGCTTATATCAGCCCAGAGGTTGTTTCAGGGTTCGATCTGGCTTTCTCTTTTTAGAAAACTAATTAATATAAATAAGTTATCTATATGCGTGACGTTGAAGCCAATAAACTGTTTCAAGAACTCACTTCGGGAAAAAAGAATTCGCTTAGAAAATCGTAATTTACTTCTCCAGTTCAAAGCCAGCTAATTTTACAAAACTGAAGTCGTTACAAAGTGATCGACGTACGTTGAAGCTCAACCTGGTCCCCAAGCCCTCTCACGCTGTTTGCATGAGCCTGCATACTTCCAGACATTTCTTCACCCGAATTTTCAGGGTGTCGTTCCGTCACGTGACCAGCCAACGCCAAGGTCTTATCTCTCCTCAGCGTGTGAGGGCCCTGGGGACGAGGTTGGTTATAAAATTCATGTGAGATGAGATGGGATGAAGTAGGATGAATAAATTATCTCTGTGAGTGACGTTGAAGCCACTGAAATGTTTCGAGAGATCACTTCAGACATAGGTAATAGATTAACAGACATACAACAACAGACCTATTACTTTGATTATGAATATGTTATTCAAACGGTTTTGAGACATCAAATTTCATGTGTCGATATCATTGCAAATGTCAAGACCTTTTATGTTAGAAAGTATGTAAGCGGCACGTTACAGTCGCTTTAAAGATAATAAATGTCGACGACCCCTTAAAAGAATAAAAACTGGCACGAATAGTTTGCGAATGAAATTTTGAAATTGTATCTAAAAAGATAAACAATTTTTTACGTTATGATGATCGTCAATGAGACATACAGATCAAAAAGGTATCCAGATGCATCTGACCCGAGTCCATATTTTCTACCTCAGTCCATGTTTTCCACGTCCGTTCCATGTTTTCTCTCGTCAAGTCCAGTCCATGTTTTAGACTATGCCCACTAATAACAGCTAAGTCGGATCAAAATTGATGTTGGCTGAATAAATTATATCTGTGAGTGACGTTGAAGCCAGTAAAATGTTTCAAGAGCTCACTTCAGATAAATAGATTTTTTTCTCTTAAGTTTTTTACCTCTCCAATTCATAGGCAGCTAGATTTAGAAAACGATTTAAAAAACTAATTTTCTGTGGCGTTTTCGAATTATTTTGAGAAAGAAAACACACGTTTTGGCACTTTTGACTTGAAGCACACAAGTTGGTTYAAAACTCAWGTAAGATGAATAAATTATCTCTGTGAGTGACGTTGAAGCYAGCAAAATGTCTCAAGATCTCACTCAGATAAATAGATTTTTTTCTCTTAGAAAATCGGAATCTACTTCTCCAATTCATAGGCAGCTAGTTTTAGAAAACCAAATTCTAATTTTCTGTTGCGTTTTCGAATTATTTTGAGAAAGAAAACACACGTTTTGGCCCTTTTGACTTGAAGACCACCAACTTGGTTCAAAACTCATGTAAGATGAATAAATTATCTCTGTGAGTGACGTTGAAGCCAGCAAAATGTCTCAAGACCTCACTTCAGATAAATAGAT